GGTTCGCGAACCATGACCCAGGCAATTTTAGCCCAAAATTAGGGTCATGGGCAGGTTTGTGCCCAACCCTATTCCTGACCTGGGAAAAGCCTAAGGATGGTTGAGTCCTGTTAAGCATCAACCACTTGGTTTGGACTAGGGGGACTATCTTTTTGTGAAGGGGAAGCACTTCTTGCATCTCAAAGCAGCACCATAAGTGAAAGCAGCTCCAGCTCAAACTCTGTCTTGTTTGATTCTTATACATAGAAAGGGGGGAGAGAACCTGCATTTATTTGTCGATACTGTCCTCTAGGATTACATCCCAGTTGATCAAGAAGAGCTGAGGGACTATGTAAAAGCCAGACTGAAGGTTTTCTATGAAGAAGAGCTTGATGTACCACTGGTCTTATTCAATGAAGTCTTGGATCATGTGCTGCGAATTGACAGGTACAACAAGCTTATTATCCAGATGCATTTCTGTTAGTAAGTGGTAAATCCATTTACCAAGGGGATACCATTCATCCCGGGTGTTGTACAAGTAAGTGAATGTTTGAGAAGGACCTTGAATACAGCCTAAGATTCATCTTCAGGCATCATCATGTACCAGTAATGCATCATGTATCTGAATAGGGAAGGGGATGGTGGATTTAGTACTGACCCTGAATCAAAGTCTCTCTCTGTCTCTTAAGGATCTTCCGTCAGCCTCAGGGACACTTGCTTCTGATTGGCGTTAGCGGAGCTGGGAAGACTACTCTCTCACGATTTGTGGCTTGGATGAATGGCTTGAGTGTCTACCAAATTAAGGTTGGTATACCCACTTTTCTAACCCCCTCCCCCCAGAGGGTAAAGTTTGCATTCCTTCTTAAATTCTGTAGGGTACATACAGCCTCTAAGATATTTATCATAACTGTTGTTTGTAGGTGCACAGAAAATACACTGGAGAAGACTTTGATGAAGATCTAAGAACAGTGTTGAGACGCTCTGGCTGCAAGAACGAGAAAATAGCATTCATAATGGATGAATCAAATGTGCTCGATTCTGGGTTCCTGGAGAGAATGAATACTCTTCTGGCCAATGGAGAGGTAACTTTGTAACTGAGTCAGTCCAAGGCTG